GTCTTGGAAGGGTTGAGCTTGAGCCTGTTCCTTAAATACTTATTAAGGTGATAAGAGTATTAACATAGATAAATTTATAAAATTATAAATACAGATTGCCATTTAAAGATTTATATATTATACAAGTTAATTATTAACATAGACAACTAATTTAAAGATACTAAAAGTAAGCTAGTGTATGAAATTTTGTGAAAACTTAAAACAAAGAGTAAAAATGACAAGCATAGGCACAACAACTATAATTAAAATAAACAAGAAAATAAGCTCGAATCAGACATCCCTTACAGCATCTCCTGCACAGCAAAGATCAATAGATACCATGTTAGGAACAGAGAAAGAAAAGGCAATCTCCACGTCCAGTATACAAAACATTCAATCAATACTGGCAATGATTCAGGAAGGAATGAATAAGACACAAAAATCTATCGTGAATAACCATGAGGAAACAAGAAGAAACCATGAGCATTTGAAGTCTGAAGTGGGAGAAATAAAGGACAATATTAAGAAAATGGACGACAAAATAGAAAAAAATACAACAGAATATTGTGAAAAAATGAGCAAAGGATCCAAAAAGTGGAGGTAAAAATGGAACAAACAGACAAGAAGATAGAAATGATGGAACAAAATCAGATGTCAATCATCAGAGAATTGGAAGAATCGATCATGTATCTGGAAATGGAGAAGGCATCTTTTTATCTTAGGTTCCAGAACATAGTGGAAAATAAAGATGAAGACCTAGGAGAGATGGCAGGAATCCTGGCAGAAACAACACTGAGAGACAAATTTTTAAAATATTTTTAATATTCCTTACTTATAGACAGAATCTTGCCAAAGTAAGGCAAACGGCCATCCCCATAAAGCATATGCTCTGGGAACTGTTAAGGAGGAGCTGTCTTTACCCTTTATCTGTCACACAAACTATCTGAATTGATTTGTCTCTTACTTTTCTGGAATACACTCATTCCCTTATGGGAATCCAGATTTCATTCCCTTACAATTTCTTTTGTTTCAATTTTAATTCAACAATTCCATTCATCTGAAAATCCACTATTAAAAGATTGATTGTCTATATAAGAACAATACCTGACCTGAATATTACAGAAAGACTTGTTGCAAGAAAAGCTGTAGGATAAAAATAAAAAAGTATTTAAAGTCAAATGTTGTGAATAAACTTGGTATTTAAACTTTGCTCAGCTAAGTACAGACCCGTACTGTATGATTTCAGCCAATTCCAGTTCTGCTAATTATGCCATGATAGCCACATTTTCCTTATTGTACCTGCTGTAACTCAGAGCCTATGTCCCTATTCATAATTTCCTCATCTACTACTGCACCAACTAATGAACTAGGTTTATTTGATTCAGAATCTTATCCAAATACAACCAATCATTGCAAACCTCAATGAATAGAATAGAATAGATTTTTTATTGGCCAAGTGTGATTGGACACACAAGGAATTTGTCTTGCTGCATATGCTCTCAGTGTACATAAGGTGCATATGCTCTCAGTGTACATATAAGAAATGATAGTTATATAATTATTATATATAACATACTAGTTATATCTTTGACTGATGCTCTGGATCTGTTCCAAGCACCATGAAAATTGACTATCTGGACTTCCTGTTGGCTCCGCGAGCCTCGAAGACATTCTTTTTTGAGCGTCTGTTCCCTGGCTCCGTTAAAGCCCCAGAACAGCCGACAAACACTGTCTGGAGGCTTGGAATTCTCTCCCCGGGCAAAGGGGAGAGAGAAGAGCAGGCAGGTGGAGGTAGAGCCCCCCCGAACGCCCTAGGAAAGATCCTGGGGCACGAAGGGTGCGTGCTCCCTAAAAGCCTGTCAAGCCGCTCCAGACCAGGGACGTCTCCATTAATTAGCGGATTTAGAAGCCGCGACCAATTTTGCTGAATGGAAATGAGGGAATCAACATCTTGAACTAACAGCAGGCGGAACGAGCAAGGAGAAATCAGACTGCAAGTATTTTTTACCTAACTCCAAAGTCTAGAGCCTCCTTCGGAAGTAACTACTTAGCACTTTGCAACAAAATGGCGATTGAAGCTTGAAAGGGCGGGGGAAACGGAAAGCTACAGGAAAAGTTTCGTTTTGCTGGCAGCCCTTTGCCTAAAAAAAGCTTTTGTGCTGACAGAAGGAGGACTTTAAACGTTAATTAATATTGGGAAATCTTTTGAGGAACTTTTCTTTTTGGCTCTGATTAAATATAAAGACTAATTTTAAACTGGAAGTGGCTTCAAAGTCTGTAAAAACTGTTCCCACTAAAGGAACAGGGAGTGCTGGCAGCTCCCCAGCTCATATTCCTAGATTACAAGTTCTTGCTCCTCCAGCGGATCCACAGATTTTAACGTTGGAAATGTTACAACAAGCCCTCCAAGTCACCCAAAATAAAATTGTTGATGTGATTGATGAAAAAATTAAGGAAACTAATGAAAAAATTAAGGAAACTAATGAAAAAATACAGGCTGTGTCAGATGAGATTGCAACTCGCAATCAGAAGATTAGGGATGATATATTAATGGCATTTAAGTGTTTGGCAGGCAATATTGAAATGGTGGATGATAGAGTTGAGGAAATTAAACAATCTTTGGAAATTTTGGATAGTAAATTAGGAGAAGCCCAAAACAGAATTCAAAGGGCTGAAGATGATGTAACAAGGATACAATACAGAGATATGGAATTTGCTTTAAGATTCAGAGGGGTGAAGGAGAATAAACAAGAGAATTTGAAAGAAATGATGTCAGAGGCAATTTGGAGAACAATTTGTACAATCTATTAAGGCAATATATCAAAAACAAACAGCACAAATAATAGTTAATGGTGGTTTAACAGATGCTTTTAACATAGAAAAAGGAACAAGGCAAGGTTGTCCCTTGTCTCCATTATTGTTTGTATTGACACTGGAAATTTTATTAAACAAGATACGTGAAATGAATACAATAAAGGGAATTAAAATTAGACAGCATGAGTACAAGTTACGAGCATTTGCAGATGACCTGGTTGTTACCTTAACCCAACCGGTACAATCGATTACAGCCTTGATGGATATAACCTGCTTATATGGACAAGTATCTGGTTTTAAAATAAATACAGCTAAAACAAAAATAATAGCTAAAAATATGGTTAGGAGCCAAAAAGAAGAGATAGAAAGGTTAACAGGATTTGAAGTAGTTAAGAAGGTTAAATATCTGGGGGTTTATATTATGACTGCAAATATGAAATTATATCAGTACAGCTATGAACCATTATGGCATAAAATACAGAAAGAGATGGACAACTGGAAAAAACTACAACTGTCTTTGCTGGGAAGGATAGCCACTGTAAAAATGAATATTTTACCAAAATTTTTATTTCTTTTTCAAATGATACCTATACTTAAAAAAGATGAAAACTTGAAGGAATGGCAGAAGGGCATAAATAAATTTGTGTGGGCAGGCAAGAAACTGCGAGTTAATCATAAGATAATGCAAGACACTCGAGAAAGAGGTGGTCTTAAAATGCCTAATTTAAGATTGTATTATGAAGCCGCGGCCCTCTCAGCAATCACAGACTGGATAAACCTAACGGAGGAAGAGATATTGAATATTGAAGGATATGGTTTGGTATACGGCTGGCATGCTTACTTAGTGTATGAAAAGAAAGTAGATAAGACTTTTAAAAGTCATATATTAAGAAATGCTCTATTGCGTGTCTGGAAAAAGTATAAATATAAATTAAATGATAAGTTACCAATATGGACAGCACCCAGACACGCAATAGAGAACATAAATTTAGAGCAAAAGCAAGATAAGATTACATATAAAGAACTCCTCTATAAGGAAGGAGTCACATTACAATTAAAATCTATGGAGCAATTAAGAGAAGAAGGAATTATTAAGACTTGGTTTCAGTATGGACAGCTGCAGGCCAGATGGAGAGAAGATCAAAAAACTGGTATTTTGCAGCAGGATGAGAATTTGATAAAGCAAATAAGAGATAAAGATCAAATGCATATAAAAAGGTTGTATAATGCATTAGTGGAAATAGATTCAGAAACAGATTTAGTTAAGGAATGTATGATAAAATGGGCACAAAATGTAGGTGAACCAATAACGATGGAAACATGGGAAAAGATATGGGTTAGAAATGTAAGATTTACACAAGCACAAAATCTAAGGGAGAATTTCTACAAGATGTTTTATAGATGGCATTTAGATCCAAAAAAACTAGCTTGTATGTATCCAAACTTACAACCCAAGTGTTGGCGATGTGAGTGTGAAGATGCTACATATTTTCATATATGGTGGACATGTAAAAAAATTAAGGCTTTTTGGATAAAAATATCGTGGATTATTCAAAACATTTTGAAGAAAAAAATTAAATTCACACCACAGTTCTTTCTGTTGGGAATAGTTACAGATTGTACTGTAATAGAGACTAAGCTGGTTTTGAACTTAATAACGGCTGCCAGGTTACTGGTGGCACAATACTGGAAGAAGGAAGATCCACCCACCATTGAGGAATGGACATTAAAAGTTGTGCATTTGGCAGAAATGGCAAAAATTTCATCATATCTTAAAGATCATTCAAATGAGAGATATATATCGGAATGGAGAAGATGGATTGATTATATACAGAAGAAATATCCGAATAAGAAGATTCATATAGCTTATGAATGAAATAATTTTAAGTAGTTTATATCTGTTTTTTTTTTCCAGTTATAAGGATTTAAGGACCTAGGCAGAATATGAAATGTAATAATTTGTTAGCATATTTTAGTTTTTGATTTGTGAATGCTATACCCTGTGCTTGTTCTTGGAAGTCTAGGGAGGGGGTGAAGGGAGGGGAAGGAGGGGTGAAAATGTTTGTATTTCTTATAAAACTTTTCAATAAAAAAAAAGAAAGAAAATTGACTATCTGACCTTTAATGTACCTCTCAAAATTGATGCCTCAAGGGATTTATCTCATTGTGCTATTCCCATGTTGGACAAAAACAAAAGGCAAGATTGCTTAAACAGTTCTCTTTATGAGATGCTCCCTTTTATTCAGATGAGGCCTCATGACGATAATGTAGCATTTGGGGAAAAAGACACAAGCCAGAAGCCCAGTGCTGGAGGCCAGGAGGGAGAAGATCTCCACAGCTACCATGTATTTGCCTTTGGTGCTCACGTAAGCTGGGACAAAGGACAACCAGACACTACAAAAAACCAGCATGCTGAATGTGATAGATTTGGTTTCCTGGAAAGTGTCTGGTAACTTCCTAGCAAGGAAAGCTGCAATAAAACTGACTATAGCCAGGAAACCCATAAAAGATAAAACACTATAAAACATGATATCTGACCCTTCATTGCATTCCACAACAATTTCAGAAATGAAAGAGTGCTTATCCATGTCTGGGAAAGGGGGTGAGGTTGCTAACCACACAGTACAAAGAAGAAATTGAATAAAGGAGCAGGAGAGAACAATGGAAAGAGCTAGGCTTTTCCCAACCCATGTCCTCATTCTTGATCCTGGTTTGGTGGCCATGAATGCAAACACCACGGTGACAGTTTTGGCCAACATACAAGAAACAGCCACAGTGAAGATGATCCCAAAAGAAGTCTGTCGAAGGAGACAAGTCATCTTCATGGGTTGACCAATGAAAAGTAGAGAGAAAAGAAAGGAGAGGAGGAGTGAGAGGAGGAGGGTATAGGAGAGGCTGCGGTTGTTGGCTTTGATGATTGGAGTGTTGTGATACTTCCTGAAGATTCCTAGCACCAATATTGTGATAAAAGAAAGCACAAGAGCCAACGTCACTAAGCTGATCCCCAAAGGTTCTTCATAACTTAAGTAACTTATATCCTTTGGCATGCATAAATCCTGCTTGTTGTTTGGATATTGATCTTCTGGGCACTGGAAACAGTCGTCTCGATCTGATAAAATGAAATATAGAAAGTTCAATAAGGATATTTTTTGAGCCCTCCCTGCTTAGTCTTTCAGATTAAAAAAATAAATAAGTGTGTCGCGAATTAGTCTCATGGTATGATTTGTTAGTGTAGATTTTGTTAATAAGTAATAAACTCTCCATTTTTATTTCCTTTTTTTCACATCACACATCAGTAGAGAGGAAACAGCTTATGTGTAAGAGAAACTACATAAAACATGTCAGAGCGTTTGCAATGTGACTACTATTAGGAGAAAACCCAGGAGCAAAACACAGCACACAGAGCCTTAAACATTTAACAGTGGTTTATATACAAGACATATACAAAAATATACATGGTAAAAATTACCCGACAAGCAATCAAACTTCTTCTTAACTCTACACAGAGAGCTTGGCAATGAATACCGGACACAAGGAGAGAAAATACCTTAACACAACATTTTGGAGGTGGATTTTTTTTGCTTTTTGGAAAAATTGGCTAAAATTAAAAGAAATTTTAAGAAGAATCTTAAGTCAGTTGAACCCACTTTGATATCCAAATATCCAGATACAGCCAATGTCTTTTATGGGATCTCTTACCTATCTGATTTGTGATCTTTCCCTCTGGGCATCGAGTGCAGTTATAGCAACAAAACGATCGCCCTTCGATCTTGGTCTTGCGGTAACCTGGCTTGCACTTCTCATTACAAAGTGAAACAGGTCGTTCCTTTCCAGGAAAAGGAAGAAAAAAAAAGATGGTTCAACAGAGAGAATAGGACTTTCCAAATACAGGAGATCTGGAAATATCTTCAATTGGCAGGTTGAACCATTGATTCAAGAAGAATTTACCATCTTTTTAGAATATGTTGTGGCCTATTGGCCATGGGCCACTCCAGCAGCCGAATCAGAGGAGGAGGTGTGGGAGTCAGCATCAGGGCAACCTAGGAGCTCTGAGGGGGAAGAGGGAATGGAGCTGGCAAAGAGAGAGAGAGAGGCCGAGTCTGGGCCATCCATCAACCCTCAGATGGAGAGTCAACAGCCCCCAAGTTTGGAGGTGGCTGATGAGCAAGAAGAGGAACAGCTGGGTTCAGTGCCTGATGCGCAGATGCACAGAAGACCGAGAACAGGAGAGCAGTGGAAAGCTGTGGGGTGATCCTGGGGAAGGATTATAGGATTATATGATTTTTCTTCTTCTATTCAATTGTGTCTTGTTCACAAAGACTATGTGGACAAGTCTCTGCAGTTTTCTTGGCAAAATTTCAAGAATTGTTTTGCCTTTGATTCCTTTCTAAGGGTGAGAAAAGGTAACTGGTCAAAGCTCACCCAACTGGCTTTTTGTCTAAGATGGAAGTGGAACTCATAGTTGCCATGTTTCCAACCTGATGTCTTAACCACTACACCAGACCGGTTCATTTTCTTTATATCTTCAGTGTGGTCACGTAGGACCATATTGAGTCTTAGGAAACTAATTTACTGTAATGTTGCATTTATTGGTAAGTATGCATTTTTTTTTAATCCAACAGAGTTTGCTAATGGGATTGTCCAGAGATTGGTACCCTACAATGAATTAAATTTTGTGGGTCAAATTCTGTTATTTGCAATGGGGCCACAAATTGCTGTGAACAGTTTTATTCCTTCTCCAGGAAATGTATTAACATTCATTGAATGAATGGATTATAATCAATGATGAAATCCAATTTTTTCTACTACCGGTTCTGTGGGTGTGGTGCAGTGTGGTGGGCATGGCTTGGTGGGCATGGCAAGGGAAGGATACTGCAAAATCTCCATTTCCACCTCACTCTGGGGCCAGCCAGAGGTGGTATTTGCCAGATCTACTCAAAATTTCCACTACCGGTTCTCCGAACTGCTCAAAACTTATGATAATGGTTCTCCAGAACCTGTCAGAACCTGCTGGATTTCACCCCTGATTATAATGGTGCTAGCATATGAATTTGCAACCTAATTCTTAAGTCTTTCCATCCCTAGAAATTAAGAAAAAAGCAGATGATCAATCATTTCTGTCTTTCTGAAGGACTCATCGTTTTCCTCATAATTACACTGAGCACAAGCTCCACAAGCAAAAAACCAATTCATATGTCTGAATATCTGTGCCATTCACATTAAGGCTTGAGCTGTATAACACTTTTGGGACAGTGGGGAAAAAGTGGGGAAAGAAGTGCAAGAGGAGTTAAAATAACATGGACTCTACCTGATTAAACCAGCTGGGCCAAACCACATTATGTTCATCAATAATCAAACATTTGTCAGTGGTTGCTGATGGGTCTATCTTTCCAACTGTCTTTCTGAGAAAGGTCTGGTTTGAGAAAGTGATCCAGTTTATGATGTCAAATCCTGCCAGCAGTTCACCATTCTGGTCAAAAGAATTTTTTTCTCCAGCACTGTTATTAAAAGTTATACTTTGCAGAAAGCGGTGGAGCTAAACAGTAATGAAAGAAGTGAAAACAGGTATATTTGTAGTTAAAGTTCTCTTTCAAAACATGCTAATAATAACTCAGCAAATAAAATATTCACTAATTCAATAATAAGACTTGGGAAATATTTACACTTACAGAAACGAACAATACATCTGTGAAACAATATTTTTTTCTTATGTAAAGAATAATGTAATGTTTCTAATGTAAAGAATAATAAGAATAGACATTCTTCTGATCTAAGAAGACCAGGCAGCCTTTCAAACGTTCTTGTTACTAGTTTGGTTATCCTGGTTAGGCCCAATATAAGAGACTGTAGACTTTCTTGTAATAATAATATTTATTTTCTTCCTCAGGAACACATTTAGACAGCCATCAATCTGAGGGGAGCGAGAGCTTATATACAGAGGAGGCGGGGCTAATGGTAAGTAGTGACCAATGATAAGTGACACAATGACATATACACAAGCAAACATATTTACATATTTACAGATATCAGGTTAGGTATTTTCAACTGTAACAAATCCCCCTCTAAAATACCTAACTAATGGTGGGTTATTAAGATTATACATGTACATTGAGTTTGGAAGTCAAATACACATGTTGTTTGGTTGGTAATGGCTTAGTGAGGATATCAGCAATTTGTTCACTAGTATCGCAATGAACAGCTTTAATGAATCCTATACTTGACAGTTGTCTCACATGTTTATATTTGATATCGATATGTCGAGATCGTTGACCTATTGCTTCGGAAGCTGATATATCTATTGCTGCCTTATTATCCTCATTGATGATAATTGGATAAATAGGTTCATCCCACACATTAGATAATAAATCATCGAACCAAGTTAGATTATTGACCGCTTTGGATAAGCAAACATATTCGGCTTCCGCTGTAGAAGTGGCAATTAAGTTCTGTTTGCCAGTGTACCAGTGCACCGCACAACCATTTATAAGAAAAACATATCCAGAAGTGCTTTTTCTGGTTTTTGAATCAGTAGCCCAATCAGCATCGGCATAGCAGGTCAAAGTTGGTTTTTCAGAAATGAATGGTTCTAAGAATAGGCACACATCAATGCTAGATTTCAGATACTTTAAAATCCTCTTAATTCCCTCCCAATGGTATAAGTTAGGATTGATTACATGTCTTGACAACAAATTTACGGCAAGGGTGATATCAGGCCTGGTCCAATTAGATATGTATAATAAGGACCCAATAATTGATCGATATAAAGTGTTATCCTTGAATGGTTCATACTCATTGTACACATTCCTATAAAAATCAGTTGACATAGGAGTATCACAAATTTTTGAGTTAATCATGTTACATTTTTGTATGAGTTCCATAATCTTGTCTTTCTGAGATAATTTGAACCCCTTGTCTGTTTTGTCAATTTGGACTCCTAAATACTTATTTACCTTTCCTAATATTTTTAAGTTGAAATTTTTGCCTAGTTGTTCAGCGAAATTATCACATTTAATCTTGTCACTTCCAAAATATAATATATCATCAACATAAATCAAAACATATTCAATAGAATCAATATTTCTTTTCGTAAAAAAGCAAAAATCAGATGAAGTAGCTACAAAGCCTATATCTTTAAGTATCTTTGATAAACACTCATACCACCGCTTACCAGACTGTTTTAGTCCATAAAGGCTCTTATTCAATAGCCAAATTTCTTCCTTTTTTGTATCTTTTCCTGGGGGTGCTTTCACATAAATTTCTTTATCTAGATCAGCATGCAGATAGGCTGTCTGCACGTCAAATTGATATACTTCCAGATTTAAAATGGAAGCTAACACTAGTGCTGTTTTCACACTTTCTGATCTAACGGTTGGGGAGTATGTGTCTTCATAGTCATCCGGAAATCTTTGGGCAAAGCCTTGAGCCACTAATCTGGCTTTGTATAGGAATTTACCATCCTCTAGCTCTTTGATTTTATAGATCCACCTAGTGCCAATGGGGGATTTCTCAGTGGGTAGGTCTGTTGGTGTATATACATTTAGTTCTCTCAAACTGTCCATCTCTTTTTTCATTGCTTCCTCCCACTTACTTTTTTCTTCTAGGGGTAACTTAAGTATGTCATCATATGTGTTGGGAGTCAGGTGTTTGGCTTGAATAGACAGTACGTAATCATCTAATCTTTTAGGGATTACGCCTCTATTGGATCTAATGGGCCTATTCTGGGGATGTTCATCGCTATGCATATATTTAGCTTCTTTTTCGGTTAATTGATCTACCTTCAAAGTGGGGTGTCCTTTTTTCCATTCATCATTAACTATTTTGGGGCATTTGACTCTGTTTGTGGATATGGATTTGGGGTTCGTATCTGATGTATGATGTTCTGCGTGCGTGTGCGTAATATTTTTTGATTCTGGGTAAATTTCATTGAGATGTAATTTTGACCAGTTCATGTGTTCATGAAACACAGCAGATCTGGATAAAATGAAGTGGTTATTTTTATCAATGAAGCGATATCCCTTGGTTCCTGATTCGTACCCCATAAATATCAGTCTCTTGGATACTTTCTCTCCTTTGCGTCTTAATTGTGAGGGGACATATACATTAGCAGATACACCAAATACGTGTAAATGCCCAATTTTTGGTTTCCTTCCATATATGAGTTCGTATGGGGTCTTGTTGATTGTACTGGACCATAAGCGATTTATAGTGTAATTGGAATAAATGAGGGCTTCAGCCCAGAATGATTGGTTTAAGCCAGCATCATCTAACACACATTTAACCATGGTTTGTAGCAAACCATTTTTTCTTTCAGAAACTCCATTTTGAAATGGGGAAAATGGACAAGATTTAAAGTGCAATATTCCTTGTGATCTTAGCCAATTTGAAAATTCGTTGGATAGGAATTCCGACCCCCTGTCAGTCATTATTTGTTTAATTTTAGTATTGTGTTGTGTTTCTACCATTTTAAAGAACTCCTTAAATTTTTTGAAAACCTCACTTTTGTGATTAAGGGTGTATACAAAACCGAATCTACTGTAGTCATCGACTATGGTTAGAAAGTATCTTTTTTTATATTTAATTGAAGGTTTTAATGGGCCTACTACATCCATATGAATTAGTTGAAAAATTGATTGTGTGGTGCGAGTGGCTTTTTTGGGTTTTGGTTTGTTTTTAATTTTGGATGAATTGCACACAGAGCATTCTAAGTAATTTTTACAGTTCTTTATTTTTAAATCTTCGGAACATTCTAACATTTTTCGTATGACGGGAAAGCTCGCGTGTCCTAGCTTTCTGTGGAGTAAGTGACTACAATTATCGTGAATAGGT